ACAAAATTCAGTTACACTCTCTACACCTCTTTGGTGTAACAGGACTTAATTATCTTTTAAGAAATTCCCACCTTGTTAAACCTGAACCGGATAAACCTCTATATTTGCCTCAGCTAAAGGCTCTTAGATTTTTCCTGTGTACGATAAGTATCTTGATTTATTTTGCGAGGAAAGAGCTGTACTTTTATAGGATGCCCGTCTTTCTTAATACGTTCAATTTCGAATTATACTGTGCAACACCTCTGTTGGGAAATAGTTGCTTCAGGCGCCGCCGCACGGCGGACGGGCGGCCAGCGCGGAACGCGCATTCGCGCCTACAAACTTAAGTGGATACTTCAAGCATTGTGCAATGCGCGAAGTATCCACTTAGGTTTGTAGGCGCCAGTGAGCCTCTTCCGCTGGCAGCACGCCGCTCCGCTCTGTCAGGCAGTCAGGCTTTAATATATATACTCGCATAGTCAGCGTATTTTAACTCATGATTTTGAAATGTTAGCACACTCCACATTGATTATTCTCATTGAAATTGATGGGGAAAAAATATGTATCAATTTATAAGAGGCGAATAATAATATAATGTGTGTTTTTTAAATAATGGTGGTTCCTTATCAAATTTAATGATTTCCAAAGCACTTTAATTTTTTCTTTTACATTTTGTGCTTTTATTGTGCTGCAGCGAGGTGTACGCGCAACGAAACGCTCAAAATTTGACGTATTTGACTCTATAAGATCGATTTACAAATGGGTTAAAACTAAAGATCGCTTGCTTCTTGGTTTTTTTCCCCTCTTTCATTCATTTTTGCAGTTTCTGTCGGCACAGCTGCGGCTCATTGAGATTAATGTCGCTTGGAAAAGGTTGTACAAATATTTGTCACGTTTCAAAAATATAAATGTTTTCAAGATGAAGTACAAATTTCGTAAAGAAAAAATAAAAAAAATTAAAAAAAGTACCCATACATATTTAAGGTATATTGTACATTCAATATTTTAAGGATAGAGATAAAACCAAATCTTCAAAAATGACAATTTAAAAAGTTGATTCAAAAGAAGAAAGTAATAACATTTCATTTAGAAAATGAGCGACCATAACAACACCTCCTTCTCTCTCAATTTCTCATTTCCATATTGTCAATATACTTTTACATACCGACTAAAATATAACGCTTGGACCAAGTCACTGTTGCTTATTTTACGTGTGGGCGTAAACCACTGGACAAAAAGGTGCGCGGACAAAAAATCGTTGACGAAATGTCCTGAAACCGTTATTCCAGCTAATTCTAGTTCGTATAAGAAAAAAAGAATGACAATTTTTATCATAAATTGAACGAAGTTAGGAAATAACGTGAAATAATTGGCGGCTCAGTGTTTGAACTGCACCGGTAGCGTTCCTCAGTTGGCAACACACATTAAGCCCATTTAAAATTTAAATTGACAAAATCCGTATCGCCAATTTTTGAGACTTTTGTTGAAATGGACATACGTTTCTTCGTCTGGTAAACGACGATTATATTCTTGATCTTTCCAGTATGCTCTTTGCTTATCCTATGATCGTGAGTAAGGGGAAACGAGTATACGTAAACGCGAGTACATAGAGACAACGAGTATATATATAACGAGTATAATTTATTCATAGGTGCTCGGAAGAGTTGGGGGATGGGGGCAGGGGGGTTCGCTGGCGTATCCGGAGGGTTCCGACATTATTTTTGCTAATGAGTTTTCCGACTCTGAGTTGTTTTAATGGGACCTTCCTAATTTGCAGTGTCGCGGCGTTTCTGATGCTGCCTTGGAGCTTGTGCGGCACAGGCACATCCCCCGCAAAGACCTCCTCATAATTATCAACCGATCCTTGAAGGAAGAAACCTTCTCTTGTTTCCTTACTTCAGCACTGTCGTTTAAGGATCTTTATCGGGTAAGACGATGATATCCATGAGTTAAGCTCTTGAGAGCCACAGGAATGGACCACTAGACAAGGCACGAATCTCGAAATTTCAACTTAGAACACAATCTGCGTGAGGCAAATTACTGAAATTAACTCAATGTAGCAGTAGCATTGACTACGGAAAATTTGAATCCGTCGCTCACAAGAAAAAACAGAGTCTACTTGAATCCGGTCGCACGCTATCAAGATTTTGGCACGCTTCCTAATCAAGTAGTGTGTCTTCTTAACCTTGTGTAAACAACTTGCAATATTGAGCCAAATCGCTGAGATTGCAAATGTCATATTTACCTACCGTAGAGATTGTTACGGTGACTTTTAGTGTGCGATTCAACTCGAGTGGTGGTTTGTTTTTCTTTTGACCGGAAAGATTGAATTTATGAATTAAAAAACTTTAATGTCTCACGAGGTACTTTCAATGATTTTCGTTGTGCAAATCTTGTTTTACGAGAAACTGTGATGAGTAAACTTGTATCATAATGCTTTCATTCGCGTCTTGTCTAAGGGGTCCATTTTACGAGAAACACCCTGGTGCCACTAGTTTTATCTCAGACGAACTTCTAGGCTCAAAAATCTCTCCAACTCTAGATCGTCATCGAGGAGATCGTCTTCGTTATGAGAGGAGTTCAACTTTACATCCAATCAAACTCTCCATGAACAGATAAAGAAATAATGCATTATCAGGGTTATTACTTCGTTTTAAGACTCTAAGATAGAAACCACGGCACCCTGATAATGTATTTGAGCCCTATCTGTGCAAGGAGAGTACAGAATAAATGTGTAGGCAAATGCCTCCCATTGCGTGAAAAGTTTTCTCCAATACGCCCATACATTTGAAGGCTAATTTTGAGTATAGGAGTTTAATTCAGAGAAAACTAGTGGTACAGTCGGTTTTTCTTTTATGAAATTTTACAAAATATCAAGTATTTGAGTCCCAAAACCCTTACACATGCGGAAATATTCCTCCTTCAACTAAGTGAGAAACACGAATCAATGTTGGTACAAATTCTATTATACAACTATTCGTGCTCTGCGGATGTCTGGGTTGTATACCCGCAAAAATGCAGGCGATTTGGTTTGCGAAAGTTCCATCTCATTGGTAAAATAAAGAGAATATAAACGTATAAAACTATCTTTAGCCTAACTGCGTTATGAGTCACCTAATATGGTCAGAATATAAGCACCGCAAGACATGTTTTCGTAGCCGAACATGTAAAATACATTGAGCATATCACTGGAATAAAAAAGGAATCTTAAATTTGCCGCTAAAAGAAGTATTTTTTCTTAGATCAAGAATTTTGCTGCTTAGCTTAAACGACTTTTTCGCTAAGTCCAAGCATTATTTTTCTTGTATCAAGAAAAGTTAAGCTTAAATCAATATAAAAAAAAAAAATCTTGGAACCATCATACTTGAGCCAAGCACCTTTTTTTCCAGTGAAAAAGACCCGAAAATCACCACAAAAGAGAGATATTTGCGTTCACTTTAAAGTTAGAAAATTTAAACTTTCCACTTGCAAAAGGAAGGTGAAACCAACGTGAGTCAAACTGGTCGTCGAAAACAAATTTATCATTCGGCAAAAATCAGACTTTTGTTTCACGATTTGTTTATCCTAATCCCTTCAATTTATATCCTAGACCCGACATGTCTGACAGGAGGTTCGCGTAAATTTTCCCGAGCATCTGAGTGTGAGAATTTGATCACTGTTTGGTTTCAGTTGTTGGACTTCTCGTGGAACTATTTCACCATCGCAGAAGCAATCGCGAGGAAGCGCCCGGAAAATAGCTCGTCAAGAAACTCCAGTCTCATCCCCAACTTTCAAGTCGAGAATGCCCCGGCCGCATACGGGTGACCACGCCAGAATTTTCCGAATTACCAGGATGGCATAGGAAAGTTGGGTTTTCCGCAGAGATGGCGCTCAGTGACAGGACCGTATTGCAAAATTTGGTTGAATTAGATTTTCGCAACCACAAATTCACTGAGCTGCGAGAAAATGTGTTGGTTACTTAAGGTGATTCGTCTAGCTTAAGAGACGTGGTCGAAATGGCATGCAATATATCACATCGATTAGGTAAAAAATCTCGGCAAATTTTGAATTATAAACAAGAAAAAAGGACAATAGCCCCTACGCATAAGCCTAAAGAATCATTCTTCACCCAAAAATTGGCAAAATTCAGAGAAATGAAAGCAGGATATATAGTGTAAGGAAAAAAACCTCGCATTAGATTCAGCTATCGATTTTTGCATCGAATGCGAGGTTTTTTCCAAAGACTATTCTGCTTTCATTTCTCTGAATTTGGCCAATTTTTGGGTTTAGAATGATTCTTCAGGCTCATCAGGGGCTATCGTCCTTTATTTTGCTAAAAATTTAAAATCTGCCGAGATTTTTGACCTAAAGGATGCGATATACAGCATGCCAGTTCGACCCTTTTCTTTTGAGCTTGACGAATCACCTTAATTTTGCGAGGGTGGAAAGAGGAGTTGTTCCTTGCAGGGACTGACTCAAAAATCATGATGATTAAATCGGAAATGTTGGAGAGTTTTCCCACGTTCATGATATGCGCAAGAAATTTGCGGACTTTCGTTCAATTTAAGGATGAGCTGAAATAAACAAATAAAAAAATAATCGGTTATTTTGTCAGAGTCTTTGAATCTTGTTTTGGTGAAAATTACTAAGACAAAGAAACAAATAAAATGCAACCACCGTTATTGATCTACTTTTTGCCCTCATTTGTATTGCTTACTATTCGTTCGCAATCAACCACTATGTTATACAACAAAAAATGATGATATTTCTTTTAAATTAAATAATTCAGCAAATATTACGAGCAAGTTGACCGAGACGTGGTATCAATTGGACAAACAAGCACACTTGCCGCATTTGAAATTAAAAAGTATAAGATTTCTGACTAACTTCAGAAATAAAGTAGGGGCATTAGAATCCCTGTAGGTACAGTTATGTGCTACTATGGATTAACCAGAAATAGTGGCTCTATACAGCAAAATTTGTTTGAAATCCTGTTCCAAATTAATTTTCCATGACGCATGAAATCAAAAAGCAAAGCTTACCTTCATGAGCGTGGACCACGGTGTCTAAAACATAAATGAGGTCACAGGAGTAGTCTAAAATCCACCAAAGAAAAGGCATGGCGTTATTAAGCTCCCAGAAAACTCCACGACCGATAACGAAAACTAAATTGTACAAAATGGCGCAAGTCACAACTCCAAGCCACTGCAACAAAACAAAATACACACACCATTTACGTACAAGAGAATAAAACAAGTTGATTATTATTCATAAGTGATATATGTATATCGACACAAAAATATTCAGTTTTTAGCTACGTACTCTAATGGCCGATTTTCACTACAATGATATGTGAACTCAGGGCATGCTCTAATAAAAAAACAATCCTCTTGCACATTGTTTTTTTATTAAAGCATGGCCTGAGTTTGCCCATCATTGTAGTGAAAGTCGGCTAAAAGCTCAGTATTTGATTTGAATTTAAGAACACCAACATACATTTCCGTCTCAAAACTTTCCTTTTTTTTTAATGACCGTCATTCAACACCGCCGTCATATCATAAAACCCGTTGTGTATGAAGCTCTAATCAAGGTGAGGACGTTAGTTTAAGCCGACAACGTAAAGTAGAAATAATCTCCGTGCCAATTAAAACTCCTTCAATACCATGCGTAGGCAACCTAGCACAACCTTGGAGTTTGAATAGTTGTATGTAGGCGCCGTCATCAAGAGCACCGCGCCGGCGCCGCAAGCAGTGTGCAAATTTCATGAAAACGGTGGAGGCAGAGAGATACGTTGAAGTTGCAATACAAACAGGAATCAGTGGATCGTTTTGTAAATTTTACGAAAACGAATTACGACTTATTTTGAACATTTTCTTAACGAGAGGAATTTATGGACTGAGATCTATCTCTTACGCGTCTTTAAGTCCTTTTATTGCTAAGGGAAAAGACTTAATTCAAAATGGACGACCACCTATATCTACAGGGATCAACTAATGATTACTGCAATCTCCTTCGGTCAATATTTAATTATGTTTGATAATCTGCTGTTGCTAAATTACTAGATACTTTTATATTTCCTGCACGGCGTAAGCACGGTATTCTATGTATATCGGCCGTTCTATTATTGGTTATAAGAACCGAATTCTCAGTTTTGCGAGCGAGATTTGTCCACAATTTCATTTTGTCAGGAAGCTCAGTTGCATGAACCAAGGCTTTGTTTTCTAGAATCGCTAATATTGCGGCCGATGTAGAAGCCTAACTTACTGTTGGACCGCGTTGAGCTGAAAGGAACCGAGCCACGTCAGCTATTGTCGAATTCAATTGGAAATCTAATTTTTCACGTGAAAACGGGTGTGCAGATTCTTATGCAAATTTCAGTGAACTTTCTGCATACGATGCAAATTCCTCAAAATTGTTAAAGGAATCCGCCCAAACGTTCTCTTATCAAAAATTAAATTACCTAATTAAATTTGGCAAGAGATGATGTGGCTTGGTATGTTTTTGCTAAACGCGATCCACGTCATATAGCACAACTTTTTTTCCCTGTGTGGTATAGCTGTATTATTTTTTTTTCAATTTGGAGGCAAAAGTCGACGGACTTGTTCAAATGAAAGAGACTCATTCTACCGCGCTAAGGAGGCACGCCGTACGAACATTCGAGAATTGCCAAATTTCCTATACATATACGATAAAATATTTATTGTTGAAGAAATTTATGATTAATTGTTCTCGAATAGTTTTCCGGAACTTAAAGTGAAGTTGAGAACAAATTGATGTAAAAAAATTAGAATTCAAAATTTCATATGTTTACCAGGAAAATCTTGCTTTATTAAAGGAAATTTGGCAACGCCTGAAGGTTCATGCGACGTTTTCCCCGAGCACGGCAGTATTGGTAAAAAGGAAGAAACTATCCAACTAATAGAAAAATAGACAGCGGGTCAGTCCGGTAACGTTGGAAAGATTGAGCGTCTCTTTGTTTGCGCATCCGAAGTCAGCGTGATTCACCGCTGAACCGCTGAATGAAAGATCCCTTCCTCGGCACAAATACTTTTACACCCCTCTTTCCCCTGTCACCCCCCTCCCCGCTCCTCCCTCGTCTGGCTTTTCTTCATGACTTTTCCTCCGTTTGGACTCATATGTTTCAGTCGCCGGGGAGCCTGTACAAAATGATAAATCGCGCGAAAAATTGTGTTAAGACTTGATCTCCGCGTAATAAAAGTCGGCGGATCATTCCAGCGCGGGACAAGATAAATCTCTCCGAGTTCGGTTCTACTCACTTGTAATGGCCTCACCGTGTAGTCAGATCGCATGCAGATACATACATATGAGTCGCTTTTACAGCGCTCTTCGGCGCTCTACGACGCCCAAACGCCACAAAGCTCGGTCTTCCCACAGGTCATCAGGGAGTTGACACTCCCTCATCTCACTCAACACCCCCTGTCGCCAACCTCTCACTGGGCGTCCCCTACGTCTCCTCCCAGGAGGAACCCAATCAAGCATCTTTTTTGGCAGCCTCTCTTCAGTCATCCTATTGACATGACCATACCAGACAAGCTGTCTGGTCATGACGTCGAACACGATGTCATTTTCGACTTCCATTATCTGACGCACTCTATCATTACGGACCCGATATCTCCTAGAAATTCCTGCCGACCGTCTCCAAAAATCCATCTCCGTTGCTCTTAGCATATCCTGTGTCCGTTTCTTCAGCTGCCAAACTTCACATCCGTATGTTAATATACTTTTGACTACAGCATTGTATATCCTCCTCTTGTTATCTTTGGAAATCCGCTGATCCCAGAGGATTCCATTTAACATCGCTATAGCCTTCCTCGCTAAGGTGTTCCTTTCCCTGATAGCTTGATCCATCCTTCCATCCTGGGTCAACCGCACTCCCAAGTACTTAAAGTGCTCGCAGCCTTTGATCTGCTGCTCATCCTCCAACTCAATGCTTTGCTGATCACCGCCAAAAGTCATCTTCTCAGATTTGATTTTTTGCATGCAGATCCTCCGGAGAAACAAACAGCTTGATTTAAGCACTAAGGAGGAGATACAAGGTGTCAGTTCTGCCGTGCTAAGAAAAAACGCCGTATGGACATTCGAGAGTTGCAACATTTCTTCGCGTAAAACATGTATTTTTGAGAAAAATTATGCAGATTTTTCCTCGAAATTTTCAGATATTTTAGAGAATATTGCAAAAAAAATTGTCCGAAAAGTTCGATGAAAAATATTCATTATTTCCGAAGTACATTCGTTTTTTATTGAAGGAAATATGACAACGTTTGAAGACTCATACGGCTTCTTCCTTAGCGCGGCAGTATTGGTGCCTTATTTTCTAAAAATCCTCCTTTTTGATTACTTTTGCCTTAAGATTTTCCTATCTGCCAAAAAAACCTCTTAAAGTTTGACATTGGTAGAAAACGATTTGACAGTTTATCCTGCTTTCTTGGTTACGTTCAACTTCCACGGAAAAGAGGAAGTAAGGGTTGTTAAAAATATCGGCATTTCCAATTATTTGTGGTGGTACCATCATTTTAAGGGAAAACTCTTAGCACTTTTTTCCCCGTGTGGAAAATGCATGAGAATACGCCAGTATCACAAGCGGCAAGAAATATACATTGGCATATATCACTGTGCTCATATCATCTTCTATGTATGCATTAGATCACAAGCGACGATATTTTTCGTAAACATTATTTTTGTCTTAAACTTTTGTTAAAATATTATTTACAAACTTTTTACACACTCATACTGGTCAATATGCAACCTGACATGGCACTTAATCTCTCATGTCTCCTGTAATGTTGCATTTTTGACTCTTGAATATTTCGTATATACACCGAAAAAAAAGATAGGTAGAATTTACCATTCCTTGACGCTGTTTTTCACACAGCGTTAACTCAGAGTCAATTCTGTCAGAAGAAAGGTAACCGTTACTATTGTATACTGGCACAGACAACCATTCCTCTGGCCGAGTCGACTTGAAGATTGGTGTAATTTACCATTCCTTCACGCTGTGTGAAATACAGCGTGAAGGGATGGTAAATTCTACCAATCTTTTTTTTTTCAGTGTAGGGATATAAATTACTACACTTTTAAAGTTCGTAGTTCCAAAAAACTGCAACGATTACCGCTTGCTTAATCAATTAAATTACCAAAGGGAATCCAAATTCATCCTGCTAAAATATCAAAATTAAAATTTTAATGAGAACTTTCAAACGGGAGCAAAAAAATCGGAAGCAAAACTAGCAAAGTGATTGGACAGGGAAATAATACAGCAGGAATCCTTGTTTCCAGGCCAATAAAGGTCTCGTCGCAAGTAGACGTTGCTTTGACGACTAAAGTGAAGCTCAAAAAGTGAAAGCCTCGAAAATTTAAATGCGAGGTTCCCCGGCGCAGCGCGTCTTTGAAGAGTAATCAATACGACAATTTCTAAAGGAAAGATTCATCGAACAAAGTTTACACGAGTGTTCCCTGCAACTCGAATAGAGCTCGTCTCAGAGTCTGGCGCATCCCGTAAGTCCGTCAAATTGAACTACATTTTGCAATTATGAGCTAAAATTTCTGGCTTGGTTGAGAAACAACGTACATATTTTCCAAAAGCGTATACGTATTTTTGCAGATGAGTCAGAAATAGTAGTTCCTAATTGCAAAATGCAGTCCAATTGATCTGTTTCACTCAAAACATTCACCCGATAGGGTTGACATTTCACAGATAAACCCGCACAGAAATCATAATGGGCACGTTGAGAAATTCTAAAATCCACGAATTTTGGTGGTCTTTTTACGTCTTTTTCTCATAGTTGCCGTCAAACATAGTTGCCGTCGGATCCAAATATTGACACGCAAATATTGTGAATTAAGGTATGGATATTGGATTTTCTAGAATGTTAAACGAGACTTTTGTGCGAATTTATACGTGGAAAAATCTGATCAGTTCGTTGTTTATTTAAGAAGCAACAGACTCATTGCGACTCTGTCATTTCCGCTTGATTAACACCGCAGTGATACGAGAAATTGTTGCATAAAAGTTCGAATGCGCCTTTCTTCTGACTGAATATTACACGGAAAAAACGGGTTTAGGATCGAGTACTGCGGCGCAGGGCCCGGCCCCAAACCCGGGTAGGTGAAATTGCTTCACCTAAACCTCGGAGGGTCAGGCCCAAGCTGAAGGTAGGGTCCAGCCCTACCTGCATATCGACGCCGAGCGTAAAAAATCCGTACCCTCGCATGGATTCGAACCCGCATCGCAGAGATGGTAGACCAGCGCGGTACCACCAGGCTACGAGGCCTCGATGAGAGAGGCGGCGAATTTACGCTTCTTGAGTGCAATTCCCTCTCTCGGCATATCAATGACACCTGATCATACGGGCATCAGTCCTCAACTGGCGTTCAGCGAGAAATGACGATATTCGCTACTCCTGCGCATGCGCGCGCATGCGCAGTAACTAAAACCTCAAAACCCAGTCGGTGGCAGCGTTCGCAACTAGCTCATGGAGGTCTCGTGCCTGTACTCTGTAGGGACGTGAGCTACCTCTCACTGCCCTACCTCTGGTTAGGGCCCCATCCTAAACTCGTTTTTTCCGTGTAATGTCTACATGAATCTACAAACATTTTTCCATAAACTGTTACAGGATACTGCATTAATTTTCAAATAGAATGCAAAACACTTTGGAATTTCCCAGGAAATTACACATTTCTCGGGAGAAACGCAGCAACATTTGAAGATTTCACAGGTAGCGTCATGCATTCCGAGCAACGTTCTAGTTTTCACCCGGCATTCCTTTGAAAATTTAACCGAATTTTCCCCTTTAAATTTTAAAGTTAAAATAATATGATAGTGATAGATTTCTTAAAATTCTTGCTTATTAAGAACTTGGCAGTCAGTAATAGATTCCGGAGTGTGTTGACAAACGTCCGACGAACTACTAGATGCATTCGAAAATGAAAGGCAGAGGAAAACGCAACAAGGAGTCAGGAACGTGGAGTTCATAAGGATTCCCTTGAGGCCTTGGTCCTTCATGATATTTTAAACCTCCCACTACCAATGCGACGTTGTAAGTCCGCAACCACGTATCTCGGATTGCGACGTCGCAGATTTCCTGTCATACTTCATTTTTTAAACGGAAAAAAGTAGACGGCAGTTATTTAAAACCGCGGTGATTTTTCTTCTCTGTGTGAAAAAAATTCTGCAAAAACTTCCCGGCCAGGTGGGCGGCCCCCGGCTTTGGCTTTTTAGGGGCCAGGCGGGCGGCCCCCGGCTGTGGCTCCTTAGGTGCCAGGTGGGCGGCCCTCCGGTTGGTTGGGCCTCTTGGATGTCAGGGGGGCACTGCGAGGGTTGAGTTGCAGGTGGGTCACCTCCGGAGTTTTTGCTCCATAAAAATATCGAATCACATTGCTTTAATTCGTACCCCGTTGCCTTAAGCCAATGATTCGCCTTCAAATCGCCGGGTATGCAAAATGACTGTCGTGACGCACGAATAGCGGTATCAGAATTTTGCATTAAGTTTACGGATTGATTTGAAGGCGCTCTCCTGTATCTATTGTGAGTGGCCTTGTTCAATGATGTTGACCAAAAAGTTTATATTTTTGGGTTTTAAATCGAGCCGCATATTCGAAAAATTCCGAGGAACATTATTTTGAAAAAATAATAAGATCATTTTTGGTCTCTACGTCTCATTTCAAAGAAGAGATCGCAGGCGCTTGGATCAGGTTGTGTATTTTAAATCCTCTTGGTTCGGTCATCGTATTCTGAAGCGAAACTGAAAGAGTCGCCGTTTACAAGATCGCAACTTACTCAAAAGCGGTTGTGAAGTTAAAAATTTTCGCACGGATAAAATGAGCTTTCGTTGATTAACTGTGAATAATCAAAATTGAAGAACAGGTACTATGTCCACTGGTCCATTAGGTTAGCGTATAGCGTGTATGGATGGAGCATCGATGACCAACTAAACCTTATCTGATCAGGAATTTTAAGTGTGAAACCCCTTTTTTAAGTCTTCATATGATCCAAATCCACCAACAAGTTTAAAACACTAATTTCAAAAATGCGTATCTCGTGATGAAGTGTCAATTCTTAGTGCCAAAAACGCGACTCTCGGCATTTCTGCCGTATTTTCTAACAGTGCGAGAAATTATTCAAACTGCTGATGGAGTTTGCAAAAACATCTTTTTCTTGCTATCCTCAAGAATTATTACCTTTCTACTGACAATAAAGAGAAATGCTGACAGTTGTTTTACTCTCCTGGAAAATCGTGTTTTTCGAGATTCGCACTTCTGCACTTCCACCATCGATAAAGTGCTTTAGTATTGTTTAATCAACATTTGCACAGGCAGTGATTGTGATTGTTTAGTCAGTAATTTTTTTTCTCAATAATTTCTTCACAAACATTCTCAGCTATGTATGTTGCAGGTAATTTGCAATCGCTGGCAAATTGCAATCTATTCGTATTTAATCAACAAATTAAATCGTTATCAATTAAATGAAAAAACGAGATTGGAAGTAGGTATTATTATGCTTTTAATTCAAACATACGTTAGCCCCCTCTTCTTGGATGCATGGTGCCAGCTAGCACACTCTCAAGTTCGTGTCAAATGTCATCAAGAATCTGTGTTAGGTTCGGTTTGGTTAAGCAACTAAACTAACTACTTGGCAAAGCGGAGAGTATCGCTGGATTTGAAGGCGTTCCAAGCTGAGGTCGTGCCTTGAATTTATCCGCTAAAGAAACCTTTACTACTCGTATATCGATGTTTTCGTAATTACAATTTGACGAATTGACCACCAACCGGGAACTTCATTCAACCGGTTATCTTACCCACCGGAAACTCAAATCAATCGACCAATTGTCCGACCGAATAACCGGAAATCGACAACCGTAAACTCTACTCCACCGAAAACGTCATTATATTTTTATCACCGTCTATTTTAAAAGTATATTATAGAGGCGGAGATTTTCAAACACCACAAACGAGATATATGGACTTACGCCGTCGAATAGGTTCGTTCTGCTGAGCGTAACATTTGCTTGATATCGTTTGGCCGTAGGAACCTTCCTGCAGAAACAACGGTAAAAAAAAAAGTCCGTTTCTCATTTTTGAGTTGCAAAAGAGCTTCAAGATTAAATTATTCTCCATCCAGTCTATACGTGACTAATTTTAAGCAATATTTGTCCTAAAACTCCATCGATAGTTTTTTATTGAGAGCAAAACCTCGACGCGTAGTTCCATACTGTTCCATAACGTTCAAGTCTTAAACAGCGATATTTGCGATGTGTAAAACCCTACTTTCTACAATAAAATGCAATCTTCCACATCGAGTTAATATTTATGTGTATAATAAAAACGGGAAAATGGTGTTAAAATTGTGTTTGATCAACAATTTCGTTGGCAAAGGGCAAGGCTAATGCGACGGCAAAGGAGGTGAAAGCAAGGCAGCTCGTATGAAGAATGAGGTGAGATGAAAAATGACTCTACGAAAGGAGGGAGAATAGAGAATTACCGAATGATTTTGGGACAAGTGGGAATCCACATCGTCTCTGGTGAGCCCCCTAATCGATTTGAAATGAGCGAGAGTTCGTCTCAAAGCTGACGGCAATACTACCGTGCTAAGGAAAAACGCTGAAGGAGCTTTGGATGTTGCCAAATTTCTGTCGAGAAAATACAAATTTTCAGGGAAACTCTCGCATATTCTTCTATTAATTTTTCGGGGGATTTTACTCGCAATTCAATCGACAGTATTTGAGCAATTTAGAGAAAAATATTCATAAATTCACATAAAAAGGAATGTTTTATGGGGAATAATTTGGCAACATCCGGATGCTCATACTGCGTTTTTCCTCAACTTGGAAAACTACTACTATGCCGTGGAGAGTTGGAACGCTATATGATCGTTGACATGTTGCCAGCTTTCCTTCAACGAAATATTCTTCATATTTATTTTCATTTTTTGAAAATTTACGTAAATTTCTACGTTGAATAATCAGAGCTTATAAGTTTAGTGTGATGAGGTCAGGCAAAATGGCCCTCTAGTTGGGAAATTAATACAATAAAATAACTATACCGCAGCTTAGATGGGATGATTCTGCATCATTTTGCGCAAAGAACATCCAAAAATTGATCCTTTGAGAGCACTTCAAAGTTACAGAATGATACATCGTGAATTCGAGAAAAACGCGGATAAACTGTGTCAGTGCTGCTGCCAGGTTTAGGAATAATTCATTTGAAATTCTAATAACATTATTAATATGGGTTGTTCAGAAAATACATACTGCTACTTTTTCGTGCCAAGGAAGAACGTCGTATGAGCCTTCAGACGTTGCTAAGTCTCCTCCGATAAAAACAAAATTTATTGGGAAAATTGCGAATTTTACTTTCCAAAATTTTCAGATAATCTTGTTCGGAATTTAATCTGAAATATCGGGAATTTCAAGGAAAATAATATGCATACATGTTCTCAAAAATACATATTTTATCAAGGGAAATTTGGCAACTCTCAAAGGCTCATACGGCGTTCTTCCTTAGCACGGCAGTATAATGTCGTGCTAAGAAAATAACGCGGGGTGAGCCTTCAGGCGTTTAAAAATGCGTTTAATTAAGGGTAAAATGTCTTACCTTATAGTGAAACGGAGTTGTCGGATCAACGACAAAGGTTGAGCTCCAAAAGCACTTGGAAGTTCTCTCCTCGTTTTCGTCTGACTTTCTGTTGAATTGAGTCAAAAACCAATCTGGCGATCGTCTCTGTTCCCTCACTCGACGGGTAGACCAACGAAACTGGGAACAGAAAAAAAACCCCATAAGATTCTTTATTGATAGCGTCATTTTTACGAAAGGGATAAGAAAATGATGGACTGTAGGTTCTCTCGAGGGTTGCGGTTCGCTAGTCTATTACCTACCTCCTTTGTCCATTGCGACCACCGACTTCCACCAATAGGATCCCTCCATATCCCTCTTTACATATTTGTCTATAGCTTTGCCTATCAATTTCAACAATCGCCCAGCTGCACGTATACAAGCATAACATATTTGGTGCGTGGTTATATATCATTGAGTTCAAAATATTTAATCTTTGAAATTGATGGACAAAAGTGATAGACAAAGATGACACAGGGAGTATGGAGCAATCCTATCGGGTGAAATGAGTGGTTTCCATTGACTTAAGGGGAAATTAATGGACTATTATAACTAAAAGGTATCCCGTGGGTTGCCGTTAGTTAGCCTATTACCTACCTCCCTTGTCCATTGCAACCACCCGCTGACACTAATAGGATCACTGAAAAAAGATTGGTAGAATTTACCATTCCTTCACTCTGTATTTCACACAGCGTCAATTTAGAGTCAATTCTGCAAAATTTACAATATGCTGGTACAGGTAACCATTCCTCTGACAGAATCGTCTTGAAGATTGGTAGACATTACCATACGCTGTATTTCACACAGCGTGAAGGAATGGTAAATTCTACCAACCTTTTTTTTTCAGTGATCCCTCCATATCCTTTTTGTCTTCTTTATCTATAATAGCTTTATCTATAAATTTCAAAAATCAGCTCGTAGACCATACTAACTCCACCAAGTTACTCTCAGATAATGCCTCTAGGGTAGTGTAAAACTACCCCTGAAATTTAAGTACGCATTTTTAAAAGGCTCCCGATGCAGATATACTTATTTCCTTCGAATGCATCCAAATATTAAAGTTTCAAGATATTTGCATATCCTTTTTGTCCTTCTCTGTCTATAAATTTCAACAATCAGCTCGCAGACCATACTATCTCCATTAAGTTACTCTAAGACAATGCTTCTAGGGTAGTGTAAAACTACCCCTAAAATTTAAGCATGCATTTTTACAAGGCTCCCGATGCAGATATACTTATTTCCTTCGAATGCATCCAAAATATAAAAGTTTCGAGATGTCTGCATCGGGTGCTCCTTCATACGCGAGCGGAACGGAATACAGGTAGCGGAAAAATTACGATCTCAAACATGACAATTTAATAAGCGTCTCCGTTGGGGCAACGTCGTGGGGGGCCGGGGTGGGGGCGGGAGGAGGGGATGCGTCGGGTGACGGAGTCGAGCGTGTGTTTCCCCGAGTGACAAACTGCATCCGTCAAAAACTCCTCAACAGAGTGCGCTCTCGCCGAACCGTCCGCGCGGATCCCGCTAACGCGAGCTCTTACGACTTTTCGAGGTGAGCCCTGTCGACCGTATTAGTCCAGNCATCTGACTCGACGCTATCCGCAAAATTTAAAACTTTCACCATGGCGGCGGCCATCTTGGACGCCATCTTGAATTCTGGGCGTCGGTTCAATTTTTGAACTTGACACCATCGAAATTCTGATTCTAGACATCCTAAAGAAGAGAATGACATATCACAACAATTTTACCCACGAAGCTGCACACGGGACCTCTTATTTGTACATGTGGTACTGGACTATATAACGCTGTGCTGTCGAGGGCTCATGAGAGGATGTGGTTGGGTGCTATCGTCGGAAGAATAACGACCTTTCTAATTTACGTTTCTACGAGAGCGAACTGTACCTAAAGGGAATCTCGACTATTCCTCGCTGCCGTGCTGAGGGAAAACGACGTAAGAGCCTTCAGGCGTTGCCACATTTCCTTTCATAACCAACAAATTTACTAGACAAATTCTGAATATTTGTCTTCCAATTTTCAGTCAGTATTGCTCCCAATTTATTCTAAAATATCTGAAAATTTTAAGGAAAAATATGAATGGCTTTCCTCGAGAGTACATGTTTTATCCGGGGAAATCTGGCAACTCCCGAATGTTCATACGGCGTTCTTCCTCGGCACGGCAGCTCGGGTGAACTGTAAGTTTCTGCCGTTCCCATGTGTTCGGAGCTCGTCTTGAAGTGGGTGTAGCTCACTCTTGAAATATCTTGTTTCTTCTTTTCGGAACCTTGACGGATGGATCATATTTCATCGTTGCGAAAAATCGCCCCGAAAGTGATTTCTCAACGACAACGGTAGCACTCAGAGTGCTGTATAAAAAATCTTGATTTCTAAGGGGAAAACGCAGAAATAAGTTAATCCGGTCTTTTTTTCTTTCGAAATTCGAAAATTTGGGAAACGTCTCTTTGAGGTCCAGTCTCGCGGCTCACAGTGGATCGAGTTAATAAGAGAGGTCGGACGAAATTAGGAAACTTCAACCGCTTATAACTCCGTTCATACAAAGCTTTGAGGTTCTAAAAGTGGTTCCATCAGTTTCCTCGTAAAATTTGCTTCTAGAGGCACCCCTTGAAATTTAAAACGTGACGAAATAAACATTATAATTTGCAGTTTAAGTCGAAAATTTCATGTTCGACCTCTCTAATTGGCTCGATTCACTGTGCGGCTGTTTGCAGATGTTGCCTGACTAGAGATCCCTATTAAAAAGGAGCATGTTGGTTAAAGATAAATGACACCATGTTGACGCCAACATAATATCAAAAGTGACCAAAAGTGGCCAACATGGTACTATGGTGGTAACCAACATGGTATCAACATGACACCATATTCAAATAACCAACGATATATATATATATGTTACTCTTTTTATATATATTTATATATATATATATATATATATATATATATATATATATATTCAATAACCAACATGGTTGCTCATCCTCCGAACCTATATGCATATGCTGCCATGCCATGTTAAGGAAAAACGTCGTAAGAAAATTACTGTCTACAAATTAACGTGATGCAGGCAGGAAACACAGATAAACAGAAGTAAAATTAAGAGCGTAAAAAACATCGTCGGACAAAAAAATTATGAGTTAGTTCAGGAGAAAGCGGTTAGGGAGCTCCTGCTGCCACAATCCTAAATTTAGGACGATGTTTGCCACCTTTCCTCGCCTATCTGTTCATTCTTTCCACTTGAATTAACAACATTGCGGTATACCTTCTAACTGTTGACTGAATTTTAGTTAATTGCTAAAAGCTTATACCGAATAATATAATGATTTACCGAGCAACTTTATTCTGACGTCCAATGATCCAAAATTCATTTTAGAATTTTTGGAACATTACACACCAATCTAAATTTTATGCATTTGAAGTGACTATCAGTAATTGGAGTAAGTGGAGTATTGAAAAGTGACGAAAGTATAGTGTACTTAGACTACGAACATAGCTTTATAGAGTACAACTCCGGAAAAAGGTCGTTTAAAATAGGTTGGGAAGGTTACAGTGCGAAGTTACATTGAACTCTGCGCAGCAACCGGCGCGCCTTCAATTTCGATTGATACTGCAAGCGCGCATACGTGGTCGAATAGTTATCGCACTGCGCCTGAGACTCGTGTTGTCTCTTTACCTTGCACGTTCTCCAGCATAATTGTAGCCACTTTTTTTCGCTTATCAATGACTGATGTTTTCACAGATTTTTGAAAAAAATTGCACCAAGTTTATCAGGAATGCACCAAATGGCAACAAGTTTTAAACGAGAATAAGAGGTCTGAAGTTATGTCCCTCTATATGAGACCCAACATTACAGATATTTAACGACTATTTTCACCTTCTTTTCATTTATTTTTATTTATTTATTTTTTTTTGAATTTTTGAAAATATAAAAATTACGACTAGCTACGTCAATTAAAAACCATTGCACCCTCACTTTCTTCCAAAATGCGACTTGGTATTTTTCAATTAAACCGCCCTTACCGACCTAAGTCATCGATAAAACCCAAGAACCCGATTTGCTACCATCCCCTTGTTGTTCTCTATGTACGTGAAGAAACTCGATTCTGTAAATGATGATACTATTTCCGAACACTTACGTAGCGGTCGGTTCGTTAATTTCCCAGTAACTTTGGGACTGCCATTCGAGCCAATTAGACCGCGTTAGGAGAAAGGAGCCAAGTCACATCCGCCATTGCCAAATTTAACTAGGCAACTTAATTTTTTCCTAGAGAACTCTTTTGCGGATTCTTTTGACAATTTTAAGGAATTTGCTTCGTACTACCCAAGTAGCATTTCTCAACGGGAAAATCGCTGTATATTGCGATTTTATCGGCGATGAAATCGCCCGGATCATCAACATCTGAGCTATTAGCCTCGTTCTTATCGCGATAAAATCGCGCTTTTATCGCCCGACAGTTGCTAGCGATATTTTTTAAATAAGAATTGCGGTAAATGGCGATTAAACCTCGATTTTATCGGCGAAAATTGATCACGATTTTATCGAACCAAAAATTGCGATTTGCAGCAATTTAATTGCCAAATAGAGCCATTTTTGATTCAACAATATTACTATGAATTGCCACCGATAAAATCGCGATAACCAACGGATAAAATCGCTGTTTATCACTGCTACTACACTACGCACTGGAAAAAAAAACACAATGGATCTAGAGTCCAGACTCTTAAAAACATCAACAAGAAAAACTACTCTTGATTCAATCGGATTTTTGCTTAAATCAAGAACCAAGCCTCTTAATTTGAGCGGATTTCCTTTTGATTTAAGCAAAAATCTGATTAAATCAAGAGTATTTTTTCTTGTCAATGTTTTCAAGAGTCTAGACTCTAGGTCCAATGTGTTTCTTTTCCAGTGTGGGTATGCAGATTGCAGAAAATTCTCTGAAATTCGCACAAAAATTTGCACAACCGTTTGCACGTAAAAATTTTAACTGTCCAGTTAAATTTGGCAACAGCTGATATGGCTTGGTTCCTCTCTGCTTAACGCGGTCTAATTGCTCTTTGACTAATTCCTGTTTGTGGCGGAGTGTGGACGGAGCGGGAAGCGGTTACGGAGGCGGACTTGGGAAGCGGAGGCGATGAGAGGTCGCTCCGCCGCACAAAGGATCGAGTCAATAGGAGAGGTCGGACAAAATCTGGAAACTTTAATCGCTTGAAACTCCATTAATACAAACTTTTGAGATTCTAAAAGTGAATCCATTAGTTTCCAAGTGAAATTTTTTTCCGAGAGCACCCCTTGAAATGTAAAACGTTACAAAATAAACACGGAAATTTGCAGTTTTAGTCAAAAATTTCATGTCCGACCTCTCCAATTGACCCGATCCACTGTGCGCCGTTCACTTACAGCCGTGCAAACAAACATTAGACGCCTCATTCATTATTTACCGCACCGAGAGTTTTGTCCTCTTAAATTCTCGGATTAAGTCCAGATTCTCTTCATCGTCAATCTCGCCGGAGATTCGCAGTGTCGATAGTCTTTCGTGCTCCGAGAAAAATCGGATTCTCACCATCCTCCCGCAAGGTTTTCCTATGCACGTAGTTCCTTTCAGCATAAAAACCTCCAATTTAAAAAAAGGGGGGGTTGGTGCAAACGCAGTGAATTAAATATTATAATTATACAGGGGATCCTTTGGTTATCCGCACGTTTAAAATCAGGAGAAAATATCGGGATAGAAAGGTTCCGGATACAAAATGTCTGAGTGGGAAAATGTTCCCTTAGAAATCTTTATTTTTGCTTGAGATCAGACGAATCGGTAAAACTTTCAGTTGGAAATTTTCAAGTAATTACGTTCTTTCGTGTAGAACGTTGTTCGTTCGTTGAACGTTGAACATTTGTTTCGTTCTTTCGTTGCTCACTGCCTTGCTAAGGAAAAACGCCGTATGAAAATTCAAGAGTTGCCAAATCTCCTTCGATAAATCACTAATTTCTGTGGAAATTTATGAATATTTTTTCTTGACATTTTTAGGAACTGTAGGTAAAATTGCTAAGAAAATTAGCTAAAAAATTTGATACAACATATTCGTAAGTTCACAAGGAAATTCGTGTTTTATCGAGTGAAATTTGGCAACGCCTGAAGGGTCATACTGCGTTTTTTCTTTAGCATGGTAGCATAATTCGTAGTTTTCCACACGAAAGAATGTAATTACTTGAAAACTTCCAACTGAAAGTTTCACCGATTCGTCTGATCTCAAGCAAAAATAAAGAAGTCTAAGGGAACATTTTTCCACTCAGACATTTTGTATCCGGAACCTTTCTATCCCGATATTTTCTCCTGATTTTAAACGCGCGGGTAACCGAAGGAGCCCCTATATAATTATAATATCCCTGGTAAAAATTGGCGATAAGAGCTGCGTTTAAAAATACCATAGGAATTCTTATAGCCGGCTAAAGAAAGTTACAGAAAATTATACAGCTGGCTGTAGAATGCGGAGAAAATCATACGGCCGGGCTATACGAAGCAATAAAAAAGTATGCAGCCGGGCTACAGTTCCTATCGCCGGGCTTTACACTTTATCGCCTGACTCTTACTTTTTCGCCATCGATTATAAAAGGCTATAAGCAATTGTGTAGAAATTCGTGTGCTTTGGAAATCATTAAGTTTGATACGGAACCACCTCAATATTTACAAAACACACATTATATTTTCCTTTAATACATATTTTTTTCATCAATTAAAATGAGAATAATCCATACAGGATGTGCAAACATTTCAAAATCATGAGTTGAATAACGCTGACTCCGCCAGATTATTAGAGCCTAACACAAAGTGGAGCGGCGACGCACTGGCGCCTACAAACCTAACAGGGATACTTCACGCATTGCGCAACGCGTGAAGTATCCCTGGTAGGCTTGTAGGCGCCAATACGCGTTTCGCGCTGGCTGCCCGCCTGCCGCGCCGCGCCGCAGCGTGCCATGGCGCTTGAAGCAACTATTTCACACCAGGGGTATTGCACAGCATCATACGAGACTGAAGGCGCTCTAATATATTAGTAATGACAGGTATCCATCAAAAGTACGGAGCTTTTCTCGCAAAATAAGTCAAGATACTACGGCTCAAAAAGATGGCAGTATCCCAAAACTCACTAATTCCTAGCATCCGTAATTAGTAACGTTTAGCATAAACTTTATCGCCTGGCTGTTGCTTAATCGCCATCGGCTATAAAAGGCTATAAGAAATTGTGTAGCCGGCTATAAAAGCTATTGGAAATCTTACAGCCGACTGCAGGTCTATGGTATTTTGGAACACAGATTCTACTGCCAATTTTTACCAGGGATTTAATTCACTGCGTTTGCACCAACCATTTTTTTTAAATTGGACGTATTTATGCTAAAAGGAGCTACGTGCATAGGGATTGCGTGTGACATAGTTCCTTTCAGCAAAAATCGTCCAATTGAGTTTGAGCGTGTGTCAATCCTTGAATTTATTCTGTAATAAGCTTTGATGATGATTATCAAATCGTAAGGCATTTAGCAATAAAATAAGTTTAAAATTTACACCGCTTTGGTTCATTTATTCAAGCAATCATTAAAATTGGCGATGTTCGATATTAATTCACAAAATCAGTGTGCTGTTGCCTCAAAAAAAGTACTTGTTGCTCCAAGAATACTTTTAATTACTCTAAGAGAAATTTTAATCGTCATGCTGAAAGTTTCCTTATCGCGATGAGCTCTCTCCATGCTGTCATATATATCTGAACCTGACACGGCTGAAACTAAGCTACACACAATGACAGTCTCTTTGCAATGAAATAGCGTGGCAAGATTCCTAGGTTCGCTGTTGTCACATTTATATTTTGTAAACGAGAGGGGTATATTGTCAGAAAGGACCGAAATTCGGCCAGGATGCTTTGTCTGGCACCGATGCTTTGTGCATTCAGAAGACTCTTGGCACGGTGCTACAAGCAACTACTGAACTTCAATTCAATTCCTTCTCACGATATTTATTTTCTCTCCGTGATTCAGGCTCTATCTAATATCCACCGCTGCTTCTGCAGGCGTCATTCAAAGCCAATTTTCCACGAATTCGCGTAAATGGTGGCATGTGAAGGAAAATCACGATAGTCTCCTCTGTCATCATCTAACCGAGAGAATAAAACGTCTTCCGGAGAATGACTCCGTGGAATCAAACACACATTTAGATAGTAGCTTCCTCATGAAGATTGAGGGAAATAAGCAATCTCTCCGATTAATGTTGAAGATAATTTGGATTGCATTTTGTAAAAAGGAACCACAAGCATTCCGATGTCGCTAAGATTGTGCAACTTTTTTTAACTTGCGAATATGAACTGACCCTTCAGACAAGTTTTATCTCTACTCCCAAAAACTATAGATTCAATACAACACTGGAGAAAAAAACACATTGGATCTGAAGTCCAGACTCTTAAAATCATTGCCAAGAAAAAATACTCTTGATTCAATCGGACTTTTGCTTAAAGCAAGAACCAAGCCTCTTAATTTGAGCGGATTTCCTTTTGATTTAAGCAAAAATCTGATTGAATCAAGAGTTTTTTTCTTGTCAATGTTTTCAAGAGTCTGGACTGTAGATCCAATGCGTTTTTTTTCCAGTGAAAAATTACCTTTGTAAATTTAATTTTTTGTAAGGTTCCAGTAATTTTTCCGCGAGGTATGTAAGTCACACAAGCCTAGCAACATTGGAATGCTCTTGGTTCCTTTTTGCAAAATGCAATCCATTTGAACATGCTTTAAAGTACCTCCTTTACAACAATTTGGCGAGAATATATCTGGATTATAAAAATGAAGCAATGAGTGAAATTAAAATAGGCTTCGGTAATATTCATTATCATGATCGTGAACGTGCTGAATCATCTCACCTCCTTTACTTTTTAATGGTTATGGAAATAAAGTGGACGATCGTCTCATGTACGGTCCCATTTTGACCGCTTCTCGGCTGCTCCGCGCGTAGAATGTGCAGTCTCACTGCCCGAGCACGGTTTTTATTGATTTGCTTAATTTTATTGAGCACCTCCCCAGCCCCCTTCCAGTTATAACTTTTCAATTTAAATTTCAATGCCCGATCGTGAAAGTCTTAACATGTCGTTTTTATCGCAATATGCTTCTATCAGCTTCAACTATTCTTCGCTCAAAATATTGAAATAAGTTCATATTATGAGAGATGCAAATAATTGTAAATGTGAAATTAAAAATATTAATGATTAGAAATTTGGTTCTCGTGCCTTGACGAATGTCCTTCTGTCCTTTTTTCCAATTTGGATAACTATTGGAATCATTTGGACCGAGTTTAACAGAAAGGAACCAAGTCACGTCAGGTATTGCCAAATTTAACTGGGCAATTGAATTTTTAACGAGAGAATTTTTGTGCGGACTCCTTTAAAATGTTTAGAAAATTTGCTTCAATCTATGGAGAATTTTCACTGAAATTTGCTCAAAAATCCGCACAACCGTTTTCATGTAAAAAATTAAATTGCTCAATTAAATTCGGCAATAACTGATGTGGCTTGGGTCCTTTCTATTTAACGTGGTCCAATTATTCTTAGCTCAAAATATTGAAATAAGTTCGTATTATGAGAGATGTAAATGGGAAATTAAAAATATTAATGATTAGAAATTTGGTTATCGTGCCTTGACAAATGTCCTTCTGTCCTTCTTTTTTCCACTTTGGATAACTATTGGAATCGTTTAAGGGATAATTGATGGACGTTCAATTCTCTGAACAATAATAACGATTTTGGAGAAATAAAGAGAGAGAAAAAAGAAACACACACACACACACACACCCTCACCCTCACTCTCAAATGTATTCTAACGCAAAGAAAAAGAAAGTAGACACATACACGAAAAGATGAGGCAGCTCGGCGAATGCTTCTCCTAACTCGGTTTAAAGGTGTAACGTTAATATCACACTCTGGGTCCTGAAACATACGAACAATAAAATGTTATGAGAATGGGTTGAGAATCCATCATCGAAGTTGAAATCGTGACAAACGATGACAATCAGTACATTTGGAGACCGCATGTTGAGTTATTGACACAAAAAAACAACTTAAAACGGGACTAAGGCCGCAAATAATAGAAAGAAACACATAAAATAAAAGAAGAAACCCGGGACGTTTTGCAGGGATCACACCCGCATTTTCAACCGGCAAAACAAGAAAATTAAAAGAAGAACACCATAAGCCTCATTATGATACGCACATATATTGCCTCTGATAAGTTATGAAATCTGATCGGCAAAGTAGCAGAAATAGCATTTCGTGAACAAAAGATGAAATAAAACAGTTCGAAAAAATTACAAATAAAATGCAAGCATTGTTATAAGTTCTCTGGACAGTACGGATAGTTAGTTAGTTAGTTAGTTTTAGTTAACGACGATCAGCATCTAGGCTATTTACGTCGGGGACTAGGCAATTTTAAATTTTTAAATTTAATTTCTTGAAGAGTTTTAAAATTTCTGTTACTACCATTGGACTATCTGAACACAAAGGGTGGATGTTAAGAGGGAGGGAACTTCGAATTTTGATACGTGTGGCATAGGTTTTAGGGCAAGAAAGTAAAATATGGTCGATTGTAAGGGGGAGTGTTGACAAGGAGAGCATAAAGGAACTGGAGATTTTGAGATTAAATGAGAATGAGAGAAAAAAGTATGGCCGATTCGCAGTCTCGCAATTTGGACTTCGCAGGTGCGGTGTTTGTTGAAGGAGGTGTTATCATACGGCTTAGGTCTTCTTTGAAGTAAGTTTCTGTCATTGTTCATCCAGTAGTGTTCCCAGGAATCATTGATGTGGGAGCGCTTTTTTCAAATCTTGTGGAGGAACGAAATGTGTGTGTAGAGGGGGACTATTTGGATTACAACAAGATTTGGCAATAATATCCGCTGTTTCATTACCGATGATTCCCGAATGACCCGGGATCCAAGCCATAATGATGTTATGTGGTGAATTTTGAAGTTTTAGCAGAAATTTCAAAGAACAGAGGGTTATCTCCTTGATTTTCTATGGCTGTAAGACCAGAGAGGGAGTCGGACATTAGCAAAAATTTTTGAGGCTGCGAGAAAGTTATCGTTTTAGTGTACTTAACGGCTTCCAGAATTGCATAGAGTTCTGTTGTAAGAACAGAAGACAAATGAGAGAGAATCTGTAAAAAGGACATATTTTCTTCAAGTTCAACAAAAGCACAGCCAGCACCATTTTCTGTCTTTGATCCATCCGTGTACAGCCGCCTATAACCATCATACTTTTCTAGGAAGTTGGAAAAACGAGTTGATAGATGTGTGTACGAGATAAGTGAAATATACACTGTTGCAATAGCTCGTGAGATCAGTTACTCCATTTATTTCATGCTCTGAATTTTAAGCGACACGAGAATCTTGGTATGCACCGATCATAGCTTTGAAAACGCCTTCAATGCGGCGTGATACCTCACGCATTCCGGAGAGTACGAATAGTTGTGTGGTTGCGCCTTAGAAATGCGATGGTTTTATTCAGCCGCTATTGCAGTTTCGACCGCATAGTATAAATGTGCTCAAGCTAAGATAATATTTAGCAAATTGATCATTTTTGTAGAGGGATTAAAATTAAAAATATATATAAGAAGATATAATAAGAAGGACACTATGAGCCTCACCGTTGTTATTGTGAGACTCAAATTTGAAATTGACTCAATTTGACTCAAAATTGTTGAGTCTCACAATCACAACGGTGAGGCTCACACACAGTGTCCTTCTTTTAATTTTCTTGTTTTGCCGGTTGAAAATGCGGGTGTGAATGTGTGATCCCTGCGAAACGTCCCGGGTTTCTTATTTTATTTTATGTGTTTCTTTCTATTATTTGCGGCCTTAGTCCCGTTTTAAGTTGTTTCTTTGTTAGTGTTCCGGGCCGATTAAGTTATTTTTTCTGTTGTTGACACAGTCTGCTAACTAGAATGAGTCATGGGACAGAATCAAAATTAAAGACCACAAGGTACCCATGTTTCCTCATTGAGATTCCACGCAGGACAAAATAAACATTCCAAAGTCGAGGGATAAACAAGGAGCAAGAGTTCAGAGCTTAAACTGGCGGATGCAAGTTTAATTCATATAATTCGCTCGCAAACACACCAGAATCAACGAGAGTCAAATTAGCCATCAAAAATCAACCTATATGATCGACGAAAAGCAATCTTGATCACAACATTGGTTGATCTCCTACTCTATTGCATGAAACAAGACAAGAAATAATCGTTACTTTATGAAAATGTCCTTATCGTTGCATTATCCCAAATAAATCAGTGATCAATTGCATACAAGTAAACTTTGATTTATTGGTACTAAGTAGTATGAATCACAAACCATTAAACATGCTGAATTCTTATTTCCAGTTAAATTTAGCAATATCTGACGTATGTCTACCATGCTTTGCGTAAACTTTTAATGGAACAATAAATATTGTACTACCTAATATCATATCGATGGTGAAAGTGCAATCGAACCCCGAACTATGACTTATACTTTACGAGGTCCATTCTATGAGAAACTAAAAAAGAGGCGGACAGAATGGACCACTAGACAAGGTAAGAATTAAAACATTCTGATACATGTTTCTTAACCAGAATTTTACGTTGAACACGATTCGCACAATGAAAATTACTGAAACCAACTCCTAACGAAGATATTAACGTTTTTATCTCACATTGGTTACGAGGAATTTGAACTGCCCGCTCACAAGAAACTCAGATCTCCACGTGAGTCAAATCGCGCATTACAACGGTTCAGCAAGCTTCTCAATCGAGAAATATTCATTTCCCACCATGTGATGTTCAATGTATAAGCAATTTGCTATAGCTGAGCCAAAGCGTCAAGATTGACGTTGCCAGATTTTGATATCGCAGAGACTATCATGATAACGTTTAGCGCGTGATGTGAATCACGTAGAGTATTGAGTTTCCATGAGCGGATGGTTTGAATTCATACATCAAGAATCATAAAATATCTTCGTAAGGAGTTGATTTTGGTAATTTTTGTTGTATACGCATCGTGTTTTACCTGAAATTTTGGTTAAGAACATGAATCAGAATGCTGAAATTCGTACCTTGCCTAGTGGTCCATTCGCAGAAAATTTGTATTTTAAGAGCCGAGACCAGGCAACGCCTGAACATTCATATGGTGTTTTTGCATAGCACGGTCTAGTGCACATAAGCGTCGTGGCGCTTAAAGTGAACCCGTGCACACACCGTGCAGGTACGCGTCACACAGATGTTTTTAATGACATCATCCCGCCAGAATGATTTTTTACTCCGCTCTCCTCTTCATTTCCGTGTTTTATTTCTCTTTATCCCTCCTCTTATTTTCTTTTTTGAGCTCCGCGTTCAGCGGGAGTCGGGGGCCCTGTGAGTATCGGCCCGCTCTCTCCTCTGAAATCATCTCTCTCTTCTGAAATCATCTCTCTCTTCTTCCTCAAAGATTTCCCTCTCCCGCATTTTCATTCTAATTTTCATATTTTTCTCACAGACCTACATCATTTTTCCCGTGGTCTGTTCCTGCCAGCACTTGCATTTAATAGTTTAACCGTTTTTTCTCTCAAATTACGCTGCTGTGGACGTCAGGTCTGCTGCGCTGGAGGAAAAAACCGCTTAGCTGCGGGTCTCCTTAATCAGGGTGACAAGTTGTTATCTTAAGAATTTCCCGACTTTTCCTGGCCGTCTGAGGTTTCTGAAAATATAGCATTACGATTTTCCCGTGACTTATCGAGGATGCACAGCCCTTTTGGTGATTATTTAAATTGGGTTTACGATGAATTGAGGAGTAATTCAATACAATTTTTCCGCTCAAACGGTATACAGGATTTCCTCATTTTCTCAAAATTCTATCAATAGACTTGCTGCTCCTTTCCTATGAATAAAATCCCTAGCACAGACGATATATTTTAGAGATCTTGCGCTCCTATAATTCCTATATCTTTAAAGTTACTTTCAGAAGTTATCGCTGAAATTTGCCTGATGACACGATTGATGACTGGAGAGTTGAAAAGTCGGTTTAGCAATCATAACCTAATTTGCAAAAACTCGCCTAACTAAAAGCTTACTAGTTCATCAGTTATCATTAAGAGGATTTTATTTGATTTTTTTCTCAGCATGTTGCTCATTTACCACCATAAGGCGAAACATAGCATTGACCTCAAAAATTCAACTTTTTCCTCACTTGAATACATTGTTTAGGTTGGATTTTTCGTTGGCATTTTAGTGGGGTGCATTGAATTGCCTACTTGACTTTTGGTTTTCCCGATGTTTTTTTTTTTTTTTTTTGAACATTTAAACATATTTTAAAAACATACACTTTTTTGTATCTAAAATATGCATCGCTTAAGAAATTCACAAAAAAATCATCGAGAAGAGGAAAAGTCAAGTCAGTAAAAACATGCGGGAATGGTAATAAGTTCTGATACGTTCACTCTAATGTGTTCGTACTAGAGAAGCGCTCAGCTGCTTTGAAATGTAGGCTCATCTTTAATACACCCGAATAAAATCAGTCCATTTGTAATCATCCAAACGATTTCTAGGAGTCTTTCGGAAGATTAGTGCTAATTTGAGAAAGAATGGCTGATCTGGTTCGTTTCTTTCAATAATATTTTCCTGTCAGATACTTCTCAGCCCGTTTTCTCAAAACTTCATTTTTGCACTCACTGTTCTCTTTGCTATCACAGCCGGCAGATCGGCTGAATCGCTTAAATTTTCTTGAATTGTTCTGCCGTGCTAAGGATATACGCCGCCTGAGCCCCCAGACGTTGCCACGTTTCCTTTGCCGAAAACCGAGTTTACTGGGTAAATTGTGAATATTTCTTGCTGAAATTTTCAGACTGCTTTGTGCGCAATTTAATCTAAGATACCTGGAAATTTCAAAGAAAAATGTGTATGAGTGTCGTCAAAAATACATATTTTA